AGTACAGGGAGCTCACAGGGAGAGTCTGGAAAGGCTTTCCCATATGGGTTAAACCAGGAGTTGATTGAGCATATTCAAACCAGTGGAGATTTTATGAGAGTGGCTGCACCTTAGAGTGGAGGAGCATTGCTGGACCCAGGTACGGGGGGAAGAAATCCCTGTAAAACACATGGCTGGCTCCAAGGGCCCAAAAATCCCTCCTTGCCCTTTTTTCTTCCCCCTTTCTCCAGCTGCAGCTCAGTTCAGTGCTGGCTGTTCAGGTTTTGCAGATGCTCTGCAGGAAAAGCCTTTGACACCTCTAAAGCTGTACAAATCCCAGGGCACATTAATCACTCAGTCTGAGCCCATAATCCCAGCCCAGGCCCCACAATCAATGGGTTTTGCAGACTCTCCCCCACAGGCATCCTGCCTATATCAGGACTACACCAGAAATTCAGCATTAGTCAAACATCCTCACCCTGACAATATTTAGGGTGCACCACAAGATTAGGCTCTAACCCTGTGGCTTTCCTGGGGTTTCCAGGATTTGGGATTTCCCATCCTTCAAAGCATGCTGAAATGGGGAACCTTTCTGACAGAGAACAAGCTGGTTCATCCCAACTTTTCTAGGAGGGGTGTGGAAATCAAATTGAAGCAAGCTCCTGGCAGGTTAATCCCAGTTCCTGAGGCTGGGACATCCCTCTGCTCCTTGCCAGTCCTTTACAGGATCCTGCGCAGGCTAAGAGAGGTAGCAAAATATGCTATTCCCAGTTAAAACCAGAAACACTCTGCCAAGTCTGGTCTGAAGGCACCACACAAAGCAAATGCAATTCTTGCCTGGCTCAGCTGTCACATGGATTTCAAACGGGTCCCCTGGACAATCGTCCACCTCACAGCCTCCCTGTAAAGTGAAGGGCTCAAAGGTGAATTTTAAAAGATGTTTAAGTGATGTGTAAAACCCTAAATACAGCCTGGTTTTGCTTTCATTTCCAAGCATCATGGGGGAAAAAAAATAGAATCACAGAATCAGAATAGTTTTTTTGAGAACGACCTTTAAAGATCATCTAGCCCAGACCCCTCTAATGAGGGTGGCACCCTCAGGAACAATCAGGAAAAAAACACATTGATATCTAATGGAATGACTGGATTTCCCTGCATTTAGCCCATCAAGCCAACATGATTGGACACATCCATTCATGGGGACTCAGCTCTGAATCACTGGTCACATCCAACATGCAGTATCCAATGCTTCAGTGCCCAGCCTCAAATCAAACAACCTTGAAAGAACCTCTTTCCCCCAAAAGCTCCTATGCCTTCAGGCCTACAGTCTGAAATCCTCACAAATTGAAAAACACACGGAAAAGGGCAAATAAACCCATCCTGTTATAGCAGATTTCAGCAAAGCAAGCAATTTCTGTGCCCAGTGACCTCTGGCCCTTTGGGAATCAGCCCCAACAAAGTCCCAGCTCCAAAGCCTGTGGCTTAGATCATCTGTTCAGGTCATTTCACAGCTCTGGCCAAACAGGAATTACAAGAGCATTTCACCAGAGAGTGAATTAATACACGCAGCCCAGACACAGCACTGCAATTCATTATGCTGATGGATCACAGCTCCTCATTTATCTCTGCACAAAAGGACCAAAAAAGCCTCAGTTGGAGGTCATGTGATTCATTTAACCAAATGGACTATCTGGAATCACACACATTTCACTTGAAGGGCATAAATCCTGACAGGGACTGCCCAATGCATAGGAAGGGGTTGATAAATCATTTCTAGATCTGCAGCTACACGAGCAGCAGCAGATAAAGGCAGGGAGAGGCTTTATTGGATATTTCCCCTCCCACATCCTCACAGTTCAGACAATTTGCAATTAAGAAGAGGATTAGGAGATTTGTGATGGAAAGAAAGACCATGTTTGATAGCTCAGCCCAGCCAGTCAATAAAAGTGGCTTCTTCTTTTTACTGGATAGATTAAACAATTATCATTGCTTTTTCCTTTGGGAGGAAATCTTTGTCCCCTCTCCCACCCAGGATGATTTCCAGGGTGGGATATTTGCTGTGTACAAAGAACAGGGCTTTGGAAGCAATAAAAAAAAAAAAAAAAAAAGCTCCCATGCACTGACTTCATAATATCCTTGGTTGAATATGTTATGAACAAGCTGTGGTTAGATCAGAAAATCCTTACTTACACCAGCTACAGAGATAATAATCATCTGAATCTCAGCAAGACCGTTTCTCCTCCTTCACATGTTTTTCATTTAAAAATACATTAAAAAAAAAATGAAAGGGGATCTTGCCATTAAAGTTGAGGGCCCACAATAGAAAAAAGGAATTTTGCAAATGTTCAAAATTTTAAAAGATCAGAGTATATTGGTTGTGTGCCTCCAGCCCCTCTCTTCATTCTCAAAGATCAGAGAAAAGCAAAGGATAATAATGACAATTCCACCAAGCTGCTTCTCAACCCTAGAACTCAGGTGTTCAATTAAAATTCTCATTTTCAGGTAATTTTTTAACATGGAGTAGGAAGCTTGATGTACATACTTTTGAAGGAAAAAGACAGGAATCATTAAAATTCTGGCTGCTGAGGTGCAGCACAATTCAGACAACAAGCATTCACAGGCATCAGCTGAAGATATTATGGAGGCAAAGTCAGGCCCTGACCCAAATTTGGATGAAAGCCTCTTATTCTGGGAAGTTTGATGTTTGAACAAGAAAGCAGATAACACAGCCTGCAGCTCATTTTAGGCTTTCTTCTCCTACCCCTGCTGCTGTCTCCATCTCTCTTTTACCGAAGTGGTAGTTTAGGCCTCACAAAGACATTAAAAAGACCAGCTCAGACTGGACATATTTTTAGGCCTGGATCAACTACCTTTAAACACAATGAACTCCTTTCCAGCACTAGCAAAGGCCAATGGAAATTCCAAGCAGACTTGGAAAGCTGCCACTGATATTTTCTGGTGATGCAAGCAGAGGCAGATTTCATTGAAAAATTCATGGCCACTTTTCTGTAAATTTTTAGCTAAGAATTGCAATGTTCTACTGGCTTGAAGTGGTCGCCCAGACCAAGCTAAAAGCAGAGGGAAAACAGCAGCAACACTCCTACTTTGCAAAAGGAAATTTGTTTTAGGCTGCACAAACTCAAGGCGTGACTTTCCAAGTCACAGGGGAGCTCCAGCCAAGCTGCACCACCAACAATGGCTGCAATTCACAACCAGGAGCCTTTCTGGCAAGGAATCTGCCACACAGCCCTGTTTGCTCCTTCACAGCTGCTTTTCCAGGAGAAAAAGTACTTCAGAGCCAAGAAGATCCCTGGTTATAGGCTTAAAAACAGAACAGAGAAGCCAAGGCATAGGAGAGCAAAATTAAGCATTCAGAAGGCAGCCAAAGGGTCCCCGGGGAACACTTACAGATGAAACAAGATTTAAAGAAGGAAAAAAACCCTGAATTTAACTTGTAAGCACACTTTAAAAAACCATCCCAGGCAACATGGGAGTACAGAAGAACAGTAAAACAATAATCTTACCCAGATGATGTAACAGGGTGGTTTTGACAGCGATATTTTCACATTTCTCTTATCAACACATCACAAGACCTCATGTCACAGCCAAACAAGAGGGGAGGTGCAAGTCGAGCCTCACTGCCTGGATTCCCTCTGCCAGAGCTCTTACAATCTATATTTATCCAGGGGAGGGAAGAGTCACCTCCAACAGCTTTCCCATTCACCCCCAGCTTGCTCTCACTTTCTGCTGCCTTTTCTCACACCCCAGAAGGGTTTGGGTTGGAAGGGACCTTAAAGATCATCCAGTCCCACCCCTACCATGGCAGGGACACCTTCCACTGTCCCAGGCTGCTCCAAGCCCTGTCCAGCCTGGCCTTGGACACTGCCAGGGATTCAGGGGCAGCCACAGCTGCTCTGGGCACCCTTTTCCCCTACCTGTAAACTCATTTTCACACACTAGAACAGAATGATAAAGGTTGGAAAAGACCTCTGAGATCACCAAGTCCCTTCTGGCACCAAATACCACCATTCCCACTGAAACCACACCACAAAGGCAGAGATGCTGCAGAAACACATACATATCCAGCCAAGGGTGCTGCAAGCACCAGCAGGACACAGAGCTAGAAGTAAAAAAACACAAGGAAAGTGCTCCCTTTTAGCATAATATAATCATATTTGGGCACATTCAATCCCCTAGAGCCCCATGACCAACTTCACTGTGCCCATCTCTACATCAACCATATGGGGAGGACCTCCTGCCATGGTCCAGGAGGTTGGAGTCCAGGACATCCCTCTGGCTGCCCTGGCTGTCTCGAGACACTGACAGGGAGCTTGGAGACCTTGGCACGAAGTCAAAAACACCAGTTGCTTTGATTTTAGCCTGTGGAAAATGCTGCCAACTTTGTATAGGAATTACAAGCCACAAGGGTTTGAGTAGTGTGGTAGTTGAATTAACACAGGATGAAAAAGTAGAATTTTGGGGTTTTTAGAATGGGGTTCAAAGGGACAAGATGGAGGGATTTGGGCGTGTCCTGACCTTCTTCTCTTTTTCCTTGTCCTCCATGTCTTGATGTGATGGTGGCACTTTTCCATTGGTTTAAGGTAGAGACTCACTGGCCAACATAAATTATAGATATTGGCACATTATTGTAAACATAGTACATGTAGTTTTTGGTATAAAAGATAAACAGCACCTCAGAGGACGGACAGAATGCCATGACGGACCTGCCACACAGAGCTCAGCAGGTCAGAGAAAGAATGTTATAGATACGAAAAAATAAACAACATTGAGAAACTGATCCTACGCACTCACACTCCTCCTTTGGCTGCACGAACTGGGAGACCGAGGACTTTTACACTCTTGGGGTCATTCCCAACACCCAGACCCCGAGAGTCAACAACTCCCATCAAACATCCAAGCCAGTAAATAAGGAAGAAAAGCAAGCATTTCATACTTTCAACCAAGAGCTACAAGCCAGCATGAGAGGGAAGAGGTGGCAGCCAGGTGCTGTCACTGCTCACCTTGGTGGTGTCATCATGTGACCGCTGGTACCGTTTCCAGCGGCAGCCGTAGATCCCGGTCAGACAGGACAGACATAGCTGGGGCTCGTAGTACTGCAGGGGTTGGTGTTTAACCATGCTCCTTCCAGCCCCTCCAGAGCCAGCTACCACGAATCCATCAGCTCCTGGGAGCGCCCTGAGGCAAAGCAGAGAAAACAACAACAGCAAAAAAAGGAAATTAAAATCCTGAGCGATATTTCAATACATTAACAAGCAATTTAATAATTAACCATGTCCTCTGGCTACTGAGAGGAGGGATGAGAATCAGATCTATTCCCAGCTCTGTCAGTGTCTCCCACTCATTACTCAACAAGACCAAGAAGTTTAATTAGTTAGCAAGTTTTGTTTCCTCCTCCTTCTCTCACACCACCAAAAGCAAGGAGTTGCAGGTAAGGAGAGCCACATGAGGACAAGCAGGAGGATGATGATCTGCAGCCCAAGTGACTGGGTTCTTATAAATGACTGAAGTGTAAAGAAACAGAGCTGCTGCAAGAATCACCTGGAAATCGATTCAGAGACCTCCACAAAGCTGAAGCTGAGCCAAGCTAAAGCAGTTTAATGTTAGCATCCCATGGAGCCTGCAAAACAGTCCCAGACAAGGAATAAACACTTCCATGCCTCCCACAGAAGAGGCATCACAGAATCAGGGACTATCCTGAGCTGGAAGGGATCCAGCAAAGATCAAGCTTCTGGCTCTGCACAGGACAACCCCAAGAATATGGAATACAGTATGTGTATACACAAAATATGGCATAGAGATATTACCCTCTCCCTTTACAAACCTCTCAAGCACTCACAGGGATGCAGAGCTGGATGCTGTGCTTGATCCCCCCCCACAGGTTTCCCACAGCTTCCTGCAGCACAGGTGTGCACCCACAGCCCCTCACACTACTGCTGTGTGCATCACCAGTGGGCTGGCAGTGGCCTTTGACAGCAGCTGAGCTTGCACAGTGCTTGCCCACCTTTCCTGAGAGTGCAGGGCTGCAAACCCCACCCTCTCCAGGGGAAATGCTTTGCTTCCTTACATGTGGGATTCCCAGGGCTCAGGTCTTGGGCAAAGCTGTGACAGCTGAGCAGCAACATCCTCATTGGCATCAGCAAAGTGTGGCTGGGCTTAGGGAGATAATCCAGTCACCTAAAAGCTTTTCCTTGACACATCCATGGAAGGAAGCCTCCAAAAGCAGGGCTGACTGTATTTTTCACTCCAGCTGATGCACCAGGGAATGCTGCAGGCAGTGCAGACACAGTGCTGGAGTCTGGAAATGTCAGCAGGGACACAGACAGCTCACCCCTCCCAGCTCCTGTGTGTCTGTGTCCGTTCACGCTCCGTGCTGACAGCCCAGGACAGCCCTGCCTTGACTCTTGAATCAGGACTCAGCATCCCAGAGGCAGGAGGTTGCTGTGGCTCCAGACCCAGCAGCCTGTCACCATGCTGTCCCCACAGCCCCGTGCCTTCCTCGCCCCCAGACACAGAGGCAGCTTTGTGCTTTCAGCAGAGCTCCCCGCGCTGCTCAGGGTGCTGACACAAGGTGGGCACGACCCACACACCCACGTGTGGCCAGCCCAGCTCCCCATGTGGCTCTGCTCATCCCCTGGGGGGTGACAAACAGGACACAGGCACAGGGACAGCCAGCCTGACACAAAAGCTGTTTGCTGCTCACGCTCCCCCCCCAATGCTGCTTCGCCACCTCTGTGCCCTCATGTCGAGGTCACCTCCTTGTCCCCGTTTCACCTCTCCTCTTGCTCTTTATAAAGCTCAGCATTAGTCACTGTTCATGTTGCCTCCCCATCTTCAGCTTCAGGACCATCTCCAGGAAACGAGCCCCCCCCTCTGCCTTCCCACCACGGGCACAAAACCTGTCACAATGGGACAGAGACACGGAGGAGGTGCAGAACTGGATGCTATTTAAAGGTCTTGGGCTAAACCAGCCTCTCTGCCCTGAAGAGTCCAAGCGTGGAGTGATGTACAAGATGCTGAGGGCTCTCTGCAAGATGTAAAAATCATTCACAGCCTATTAACAACTCCCCAGCCAAACCCCTGAAAACCTAGAAGGCTGCAGTTGTTCCAAGTAATCCTGTACTAATTCTTCTCCAAAGGACAGCATCTCTCCTGGTTTCCACCTCTTCCTGCTTTAGAGATGCAAGGCAGGAGGCCAGATACGCCAGCTCCATCCACAAAAGCTTTCACTAGGTATTTCATTTCACCACTTGCAGGAATTGTGTCGATTTGGTAGGAGAGAAATCCTCCCCTGTGAGGATGGGGAGGCCCTGGCACAGGTTGCCCAGAAGAGCTGTGGCTGTCCCTGGATCCCTGGCAGTGCCCAAGGGAAAGACAGATAAAAAGGCTCTGTAAGACACCAAGTGAAACTCCCACCCTGGTTCCTCTCACTGCAAAGGCAGGCACTGTGGGAGCCCAGAATTCCAGGTTGCTCTCCACAAAAACTCAGGAAAAACACAAGGACAAAAAAAAAAAAAAAAAGAGTTTTAAAAAGTCCACTCCCAAATACAGTGTAATTGCATAAGGCACAACCAACAAGCCTAAAATCACTCCCTCTTCTCCATGAGCATCACAACCAGATCCATAAAAGCCCGAAACAGGTGGCAAAGGACAAGACCCAGCACCTACCCTCCCCTCCACGGACACCTGAGTAGTAAGAGGAGCTGCAGGGAGAGAAACCACACTGATAGCATCTACCCAGAGAGCCTGGCTTGGCCAAGAGCATGGGCTCAATACTTACTGCTCCTGCTTCCAGAAACGGAGTCAGGGGAGCAGCAGAAAGTCTGCAGCACCTCCCAGTCACTGTTCCCATGACATCTCCAGCTGTCGAGGTGCAGAAAGCAGCCTATGAATGATTCAGCCCACTGCTGGTTAGCATTACATACAGAAATGAAAACAGGAAGCAAGACAACAGGCATTAATTATTCAAATCTAGCAACGTGCACCAGGAGGGAGGGGAGGGGGAAAGAAATAAAATAGAAAACACAAACCCACTCATGCTCTCAACCTTGACTTTCAAGATGCATCATCTGCCAATGGCTATGAGCTTCTCAGAGCTGAATAACCAGCTCGCTTGTCCAAAAAGGGGGAACAGGGTAGATTCCATCTAGAAATACAATGGGAGCATTTTCCAAAGGCTCCAGGATGCCTAATTAGCACACACTGCACTTCTGAGATACTGAAGTGGAGGTATTGGTTACACATTATTCCTTTCCAAACAGCTTTGGAGGAAAAAAATAAAAAAAGCAAAAGGAGACTTGGAGTTGCAAATTTAAAAGTGAAGCTCTCTGGGGAGATCTGGCCTAAACATTTTTGATTTTTGTCTCTCTGAGTTACCTGCTCCATCCCTATAGTCTCAGGGCAATATGCAGAAACCTGGAGTGGAGAGGGAAGGCAGCAATCAAGACCAATCACTGAAGCATCTCAGTGCCCTCATTTTAGTGAGGAGAAAAGCAACAGCACAAGTCCTGAAGAGCTCTGAGTAAACAGTGGGGATGAAGCTCCAGAGGAGCAGGTTTAACAACCTTTCCCAAGGCTTGCTGCAGTCCAAGCCCTCCCCTTTGATCCCCCTTCAAGGAGACTGGGGGGAGACCTCACTGCAGGTACAACTTCCCCATGGGAAAGAAGAGAGGCAGGCACTGATCTCTGCTCTCTGGGACTGTGACAGGACCCAGGGAAGGGCTGGAGCTGTGCCAGGGCAGGTTTAGGTTGGAGATCAGGGAAAGGTTCTTCCCCCAGGGGTGCTGGGCACTGCCCAGGGTCCCCAGGGAATGGGCACAGCCCCAAGGCTGCCAGAGCTCCAGGAGCTCCCAGGGAGGGATTGCTGAACTTCTGTGCAGGGCCAGGAGCTGGACTGGATGGTCCTTGTGGGTCCCTTCCAGCTCAGGACATTCTGTGGTTTTTAAAAGCCAAGCAGCTTTACTGCCCTTCCAGCCACACCATGGATTGCTCAGGATGGTTTGGATCAGCACATCCAAAAGAAAACCCAAAACACAACCAGGAATGGTTCGATGGAGGCTTACAAATAACAAAATCACGGAATCATTAAGGCTGGAGAAGCCCTCTAAGACCATGGAGTCCAACCAGCACTGCCAGGTCCACACCAGCCCATGGAATCCTGAAGTCTCGGGAGATGTCAGAGCAGAAACAACCATTTGGAAAGAGGCAGACACTCATTTTTCCCCAGCAGCCCCACCACCTATGCAGATGTGGTCTCCTGCAGGATCTCCACCTGCCAAGGCACGGCTGGGAAGACCCATCCAATAGAAAACCTTGGCCTTCCACAAGGTTCCAGAGAGGAAGAACTGTGGGGAGAACTAGGGGAAGAAGCACGTGTTCCCCCCATACCTGGGGAGGCAGTGGGACACTCAAAACCAAAGCAAGCCCTGAGCACACAGGCTCCCATCTCCCAAAATTCAGGCCCAAGGAAACTCACCCCGCTTGCAGTACAAATAAACATAAAAATCAGAGAAGTATTTGAGATTATTTTTTAATGCTAACTCATTTTTAAAAAGAGCTTTGGCAGATTCTACTGATTTCCATATTAAAAGAAATAATAAGGGTTTGCTTCTTGCTGGTGACTCCTGGGATCACTGTTTATCAAGAATCTCTGTAAATTCAACATCTCTATCTCTACTAAAACTTGCATCAATCTAATTATGCTTAAAACCTTGTTGAGCAAATAATTTCCTATGCCAATTAGGTGAGAACATGCCTGATAATCAATTAGCCCTATTGATATGCTTGTAAGGCTGCTTGTCAGTCATTTCCCTAATGATACTGGAAAATCCTGATTTTCCTTAAATACTTTCTAAAAAATTAAGCTATTCCGGAGCAAACTCTACAGTTCTGTGCACAAAAAAAGGAAAAATAGAAGAGAAATCTCTATGGCCCAGCCAGGGCTGAAATCATTACCTAAATTCTTGGGATTTGCATGCACTCTGCATTGGTTTTCATATACATTTTTTTATTAATACACTGAACTCATCCAAGCCAAAGTAATGCAGTTTCATTTTCCCCGACGTGGAAAATGGAAATGGAAGAGGGTCAATATCCCCATCTGTTTAATAACAAGCTATTACTGAGGGCTGTTTGCTCTGGCCACTCCCACGGGAGGAAATCGAGATGCACACACACACAGCGCACCATTTTCCACATTTTGCTGGCACAAACCCAAAGCATCTCAGCTTGCAGGATCCAAGATTTCATTTCAAGGCAGGAATGGGACACCCCAAAGCCAGAAAACAGCCTCAGGTGTTTTGGAGGTGGAGGATGCCCAGGCAATGACCCAGCAGGGTTATTCTTCCCCACACATTTTTATTCCCCACTCTGAAAATCAGGTTGGGTCAGAGGTCTCCCACCCACTTTTTCCAGGCTCAAAACATTCATTTTTACACTGATAATACTGGACAAACAAAAGCAACAGAATATCAAAACTCCAGTCAGCATCTATTATTTTTCCCCCTGGCAAACAAACAAGAAAGATGAACTACAGGAAAGTTTCCTCTGCCATATGCATATGGATATATGGAATATTTTGGATGAGAGCTGAGGCAGGAAAACACAACAACCTTGTCGTTAAAGCTGAGTGCTGCTGCCTCAATGACAGAAAATCAGAGTGGGGGAAAAAGCAAATTAAAAAACTGAAAAAGAAAGGTCTACAGGCCATGTGCTGGTCTGGCAGAGCACTCAGAAGGGAAACATCCCAGTCTCCCTGAGATCCCAAAAATCCATGGCTACATCCCAACCCAGGGAGAGCCTGCAGAGCCACTTGGATTCCCCAAAGTGGCAGGGGATGACCCAAACAGACAAATCCCAAATAGGATCTGGCTGACGTGGAGCCCCTGTGGGTCTGACCTGTTGTTTATTGTTCTTAAATGTTTTCTACAAAAAAAAAAAAAAACAATTTACAGCTTTGAAACTAGGGCAGCATGTAGTTTGGGGGTTGTACACTTCCAGTTAATGAAAATTCAGACTTCAAAAGATAAATACTTCAAAGGGATTACAAAAGAAAAACTTAGACTTTAATCTCCCTAAATAAATAAGCACAGGACGGACTAACGCCCTCTGTTTTCCACAAAGTGAGGCAGGAACGGGTGCCTGGAACTCTGAAAGGGTGGAAGAAGAGGAACAGGGCACCGGAAAAACCTGTATAAACTTCTGGCAGAGCAAGAATTAAACACAATCTCTGCTTTCTGCACCAACCCTGCAGGTCAAGGTGTTGGTGCAGCTCTGAAAACCCAAAATCTGCTGCAGATCCAAAAATATCAGGTGGGTCCACAAGCAGGTTCTGAAGTAACTCCAACCAGCAAAGCACAGGTGGGACAAGAGGAAAAACATCAGGACACTTCAGGTCCCCTCTGCCAAAGAATTTCTGACAACCTGAGTATAAAAAGAGCTTCATCTTCTGGGGGCTGGTGGAGAGATGGGCAACAACTCGTGGATTTCTCATGTCTTTAATTCTAATAAGGCTCTTGGCTTTTAGAAGCAGCAAAGAGAAACGTGAAGCAGCCCAAAGTGTGTGAAATCACATTTTTGGCAGAGAAAGTCAAACCCTTCCACCTCTGCGAGTCTATGTCAGGTGGAGTCCCCTTAGGACAGCATTCCAGAAACACTGAGAGCAGCACAAGAAGCCAGCAGTTCAAGAGCTAAAAATGTAAAATAGCAGCTAAGGTGAGGTGAGACACCACCAGGAGCCTGACAGCACTGTTGATCTTGGCAGAAGACAGGGCAGTGGAGGGAATCTGAGCCACAAACCCAAAGGGACAGGCAGGAAAGCACCAAACTGGGAGAAGAGGGATGGCCAGGCAGTGTCTTGAGGAAGAGACCTCATGTTCAGCCTCTGCTGTCTGAAGAGCCTCAGACAGAGAATGTCCTGTGATGTTGGTATGGTGTGGCTGATGACACAGCAACAGCAGGGCTCAACAGAGACAGCCCAGGTGAGAAAAAGACAGGAAAAGGGAAGAATGAGAAGAAAACCCAGGAAAGCACAGCTGGATGCTAAGCAAAACCCATGCACCAACAAGGAATTTTTAAAGAATTAAAAAGGTTACAGAACATTTTTCCTCTCCACAGACTCCAGGAGCTTTGCCATCCTCACCAAGCTGCAAACCAGAAGTCTGCACCAAGCCTTACCCATTAACCAGCACGTTTTTGCTGAGAAATTAAGTGGAAACAGAGCTGGGTTGGAACATGCACACCCTGACAAGCAGCGTCCTCTTCAGACAAGCATTCCTCCCTCTCCTGGTCTTCCCTCTCCAAACACAGCCCTGAAGAGTTGCCCACGGATGGAGCAGGGCCTGTCCCACACATTCCCTGCTGAAAACCTGGCTCCTGCCAGCAGGGAAAGAAAACTGCACCAACAAGCCCCAGAAGGCTCATCTGAGAGGGAACCAAGTGCCTCCACACCCACTGCAGGCACTGGAATGGAAACAGTAAGGGAGGGGGGAAAAAAGGGAAAACAAAACCAGCAAGACTCATTTTCCAATCGATACCCTGCACATCTGCTGTGCAACTGCTACCCAGAGAATTAGGCATCAATGTTTCTGGCTTAATGAGAGGTGGAAAGTCCTAGTTAAATGGATTACAAGCTCTTTATTTCCTATGATTGATTCCTTCCATACAGCTGCAGGAGACATTACTCATGAAAAAAAAAAAAAAAGTTCTCAAGTAGCAAAGGAGCTAAATAAATAAAGAAGAAAAACTTGCTTTGCCTTCCTGAGCAATCTAGTGTCCCTGGCCATGGCAAAGGGTGAAACTGGGTGGGCTTTGAGGTAACTGATGAAGCTCAGGAGAGGTGCAAGAAGTAAAGTCAGCCTTTCATCACCTCCACTACAGCTTTGTGACTGCTTGAAAAACATGGAAACAAAAATGATATCGGGGAAAAATGAGATATATGCATCCCCCATCCCCTCCTCCACACCCCTGCGGCACAGAAGATACTTGATTTCTGCCAGAGGAAGGCTAACATCCACTTTATCCCTCTTCTGTTCCAAGGAAGCAGAGGTTTGTCTCATGATCCTAAAGCCTCCTTCCAGTAACTATTACCATGTTTTTTTCCCCGTTCCCTACAGATCAGTCTCTGCTCAATGCAAAGAGACAGACAGGAGAGCTTCCCTGTCATGAGGGAAAGGAAAACTGCATCCAAGGAAACAAATGGGTAACGAGAGACAGGCTACAACCCCAACCCCATTCCAGAGTCACTCAGCTCCACATAAATGGC